GGAAATGAGAACGCAACAGTCATTACAGATTTGGATTACCGCTAGTACGTTCAAAGGAGTTCAGAGAACTTCCGATTCAACACGAGAGCCTCTGTCTAGTATTCACATGACCATCCATCAGCAGCTTGCTACTGTGAAGAATGCCCTAAGACCTGCACTTCCCCTTTATAATTTTAATCCAAATGAGATCAAAATTAAGTCATTTACCCTGTGGCTGTCAACCTCAGAGCAAACAGGGGCTGTGTTTAGACACTTGGTATGGAGAGTTGGCTCCTAGCTGATTATGAGAATTTTTCAGGCTCAGAAATATCTCTAGGTATCAGGATGATTTGTCTCTAGGGCTCTGATGACTTCACACGTGGAAAACTTGATGGTGCCTCACTTCCTGCGCTGGGATTCCTCACACCACCCTGTGGATGTTCACTCTACACACAAAATGAACCGTAGACAAGTCATCTGCCTCTAAAGGAAATATCTCATGACAGATGAGCCATTGAATAAAGCCGTCCCTTTTCTCCCTTGCCTTCTGATGATCCTGAGCTATTTTACAGGAGTTCTGGGCACATAGTCACACAGATCAACACTCAGTTGCATTTAACAGACTTGGGCTCAAGAACATAGTCGCCTCTGGATTCAATTTACCCTCACACTATTGTAGTCCCTCACCTCAGCCTGGAAAGATTATATTCCATATTAAAATATTAGGATATAAACTTTCATAATCAGTTCACTTTCTGGGAAAAACAGAGAAGGTAAATATCCACTGGCCTATCCAAGGTATCTCATTTACAGACCTTGAAATATCCTCACTTCCACTAAAGATGTCTTCTGTAAATGGAATGTCTTTGTTACATGCCTTTAACCCAAAGTGTCCCCTGCTTCTGGGTTGCGGTAATCACAACTCCCACTGAACTGGGATGGAAATAGTAGGTAGTAATTCAAATCACACAGTAACCTCTTACTGTCACATAGTATATTCTTTATTAATCTTTCATTTAGTTGTTATAAATTGTTTATTTGATTCCATAGTTTTGCAAAAGCTGATTATGACAATTTTTGGCAGCTAATTGTATTGTTTTCAATGGGACAATGCTCTGGAGTTTTCTATTGTGCCATTTTGACGATATCACTTTTTCTTTCTGTATTTTTGAGATTCATTTCTGACAGTTTAATATTTTATTTCTTGCACAGGCTTGGATGCTGTAGATTCTTTTTCTGTTGCCTGAGGACACATGTGTATAGTATTTCTTGATCCATGTTTTTTGAAAAAAAATCTAATACACATATCAATTTTGTTTCCAAACCCTTGCGAATACTCTGGAGGGCTTTTTTTTTTTTTTTGGTGGTACTGGGGATCTTGAACTCGGTTCCTTGTAATTGCGAGGCAGGCAGCAGAACCACTGAGCTAAATCCCTGACCCTGTTTCCATACAATTTGTTCCCTACCACCCCATTCTACTTCTATGTGATGACTTCAAACATTTTAGCTTCATATAGTTAATGAAATCATTTATTAAACGTCGGAGGGCTGTGCAATATAACTGACCATTTTATAAGATTAATTCACTGTTACTTGATTCTCAGTATATCCTTCTTGTGTTTATTTTTCATTGCCTGGGTTATATCCTGGAATTATTTCAGAAGACATGGCTGATTATTTGCATGACTGGCAATTCTTTTTATATTTTGATATCACTTAAAATGATTGCATGGCTATATACATAATTATAAATTCAATATAATTTTTTCAGAAAATTCTTACTCAAGCTTCACATTATTACTATAATTAATGTGTTAAGTATATCGAGTCATAGCCTTACACAGAATACAAGATTTTCTTTATAATATCCATATTAAAAGAGCAACAACACAATATGATTCACTTTTCTTTCCTGAATAATTGCATTTCGTCCATACCACATTAGGCTGTTGTCATGCCTTCTGCTCTGAAATGTCTAAGCAGTTTATTCGGTTGTGAAAGACTATATCATATAGGTCAGCTGATAAATTTTCAATGTCTATGATCTCCTTTTGTTTTTAAAGGTTTCAGCCAGTGCTATATTGACAAATGGAATCTCTTACTTATTTGAAGATATTATTTCATGTTTTCTATAAAATTGCTTTTTTATGCAGTGTCTTTATTTTCCAGATTGAATTCTGTGAAACTCTTCCATATGAGTTGTTGTGAAACTCTTGGAGACATTTGATTATGTGCTCACTTTCAAAATTGAGATTATCAACACTATACTGAAGGAGATACACCAGCTTCAAAAGGACAAATATTATGATTCCACTTATATAAACGACCTAGAAAACTCCTGAAGATAAATATAATAGTGATTATGAATCTGTGGGACCAGAGAGTAATGGGGAGATATTATTTAATGGACACAGAGTTTCAGTTTGTTTTTGTTTTTGTTTTTTTTTGGTATCAGGGGTTGAACTTGGGACCTTGTGCTTGCAAGGCAGGTGGCGAAACCACTGAGCTAAATCCCCAGCCCCAGAATTTCAGTTTGGGTAGAAGAAAAAGTTGTGGAGATGGATGGTGGTGATGGCTGGGCAACAGTGTGAATGCTGTTAGTTGCATGATATTGGATAATTAAAATTTTTTAAATGATAAATCATATGTTTATGTGTTTTATCACATTAAAAAATTTTTAATTATGAAGTCAATTAGCTGTGGATGTTTTTTGCTTATCAAGACAGAATGGATGCTTAGGGAATGCAGAGATGACAGCTTAGTACAAAGGATGCTTCACCACTGGGTTTCAGTCAACAAGGATTTGCAAGGATTTGTGGATCTCATTAAGGCTTTTCCCAGCTTCTTGGGATTTATCTGATTATTACTGCTTTAACATGAAGACCAGAACAATTCTAAATACACATGAGAAAAAAGGGTGGATTTGACTGTTTTAGATGATCCAAACTATCACTCTGGTAAATGTCACTATTTTCCCTCCTGCCCTTGTAACTCATTGATAATGAGACTCAATTTCCTCCCAACCAGTTCTTTCTCCAGAGTTAAGGAACTTTCTGCACGAGGTCCTTGCTATGATTTGTCTCATGTTGTTACTGGCCACTTAGGTCCTTACAGATTGCTGCACCCTCCAAAAACATCGTGGGAGATATGATAAAAAGGAGAAGGCTTTATTCAAAGCTACTTTTAAAGAGGTGGAGGAAGCTCACACTGTGACAACACCATTTCTCTGTGGCTAGGTAGGCAGGAATGTTCACAGTAAAGGAGGGGAGAGGGTATGCAGTGAGACAACAGAAAGCTCCAGGCTTACTTCATTTCCCCCAGGCATCTTCTGCTCCCTCCCTTCCCTGTGGAAAAGAAACTGGACTTTGACCTCCAAGTGCCAGCATGTGCATGTTTTGTCCATTTATCCAGGCTAAGGAGAAGAGGCACTGACAATTTACACCCTCAGCCTGAAGAAGTCTGGAGAAGTTGCTTGTCTCTAAAGGAAAACAACTTTAATTTTTAAAGTTTTATTTGCCCTGTCATCGCGTTGTTACTCCGTGTCACATCACCCAGCCCTAACACTCTGTGGGGCTAGGGCAGATTTAAGTCAACTTTTGTGTCGCTTTTAGGATGTCTGTACAGCTTTTCTATCCATTCTTAAGAAACTTGGTATATTTTTGGTCAACCTTTCTATGTGTTCAAGTAGTTTAGCGCAGAATTAACTAACCACACTTCAAAATTTTCCTTTTCTGTGCTTTGAGGATCTCAATTTTGCATTCTCATAACTTTGCACACTTCAATTCTTCTCCAGTGTTTTTTTTTCATTGTTCTAGAATAACTTTTTCCTTCTGTCATTAAGATGCCATATCTAGAACATATCTCTCCATCCTTGTTTGTTTTTTCAAGTCACTGATTTCTGCTTTCATTTTTATCAATGTCTTCTTTTTATGTGGTTGAATTTTTTTCAATTTTAATTAAATTCTGTTCTGATAAGAGCACTATAATCTCATACTATTTTTGATTTGTACTTTTAAAAGATTTTTTTGCTTATTTCTGTACATCTTGAGCACTTTGTTTTATCTGTATCTTGGTCATACTAGATTGGACGAAGGTTTTGTTCTTTGATCCATAAATAAAATCAGTGTTAACAGATTGTTTCTTCTACTAGTGAGCTTGAAATGAAGCAGCAGTTCCTGGTATTTTCTGGAATGAAAACTGAGAGGAGTGGGGAGATTAGCAGACACTGTAGGCAATTTTCATTCAGGATAATCTCACCCTGCTCTCCAAGGGTCTCTACTAAGGAGAAATAATTATTGCCCATGGGACAAAGAGATAATCTTGGTAGGAGATGAGAATGACTCAGTCATATCCTGTAACTGTCTCATATTTGATGATTTAGCATTTTTATCTCTGTTCTTCCCATTTAAAATGTGGCTAGCTTTTCTCTTGCCCCTTCTAAAGTTCACTTCCTGTGATTGTTTGAGATTTTAGGATAAAATGATTGAAACTATATTTTCAATCCCTCTTCACTCCAGAATCCTGGTCTGTGCTGCTCTGAATGCATATAGGCGGAGATACTCTCCCCTTTTGTGGTCTGCTTGGATCACAGTCTGGAGAAGCACAAGTTATATCTGTGATACAGCATTTAAATTATGGCACTATGGAAGGAGCCCCACACGGAAGACTATGAGAACTAGATCATCCACCAATAAATTTTATACCCTGCAGTAAGACTCTTTCTTCTTGAAGACTATATTTCTTCTGGTAATGCAAAAAATTACGTGTGATGATCTCTAAGTGTTGATAAGGATTTGCAGGGGCTCTAGGGGAAGGAAAAGGCCTCTAACTTTGTGTCCTTGTATATAACTGGAGCATTCACATTGCCCCACCCTGATCAAGGGGAAAGAAGTCCACATTTGCAGATAAGAAAGAAAGGGAAGTGCCTTTTGTAACTTCAGCCACACCCATGGCACACCCAGACAAGGAAGATATAAATGAGAGCCTCTACTCAGCTCCCAGCCAAGGCCCTTCCTGGCAAGATGAAGTCCACCTTCTTCCTCATCCTTTCCCTGCTCCTCATTTGGGTGAAGCAAGCAACTGGGAAGAAATTCCTTGGTGAGTGGAGAGGGACAGCTGGGAGAAAGACACATGGGGAAAATGTCCTGTATGGACATTCTAGGTATGAGCAGAGAGATAGTCATGCAGAGCTTCTTCTCCCAGAAGACAATAAGTCTTCTCCACCCACAGCCCCATTCCACATGGATCTTCAGGGAGTTCTTAAGGAAACAATTCTTATTATCAATTATCAGGGGAGTAGCAAGGCCAGTGACCAAATGGATCATACCAATTACCATATTAGACAAAGCCAACACTGTTCAGGACAAAACAAACAAACAAGAACATGGATCTCAAAGCAGATTCAGATTTAAATCAAACAGCAAGTGGAGGACAATTATCATGACTAGAAATAAGATAAAACCAATAGCATTCACAACATGAAATTGCAATATCAGACTTTCAGCTTGAGTCTCAAGCCTCGTATAAGAAGGAAATTATAAAAAGACTAGTTGTAAAATGAAAATGTGATTTTATTACAGAGAAGAGAATAGGAATCTCCCTAGGCAGCCCCAGGAAAAAGACAGCTCAGGACAAAACAAACAAACAAGAACATGGATCTCAAAGCAGATTCAGATTTAAATCAAACAGCAAGTGGAGGACAATTATCATGACTAGAAATAAGATAAAACCAATGGCATTCACAACATGAAATTGCAATATCAGACTTTCAGCTTGAGTCTCAAGCCTCGTATAAGAAGGAAATTATAAAAAGACTAGTTGTAAAATGAAAATAAAATGTGATTTTATTACAGAGAAGAGACAATAGGAATCCCCCTAGGCAGCCCCAGGAAAAAGACAGTTAATCGGCTACTGTACAGACACAGCAGGCCCTTACAAAGTAAGCATTCCCCTTTTATGGGGTCTCAAAGGAATGTCATTAATTATCCATTTTTCTAAGAAACAGAGGTCTTCAGATAGGGCAGGATTTCAGTTATTGGGCTGGCATGTGTTTGCTCATGGCCCAAATAGAGCTGAGAAATGTGTTATCCCCTCTGTGGGTGGATGTCTTACTATGGAAATGCATTACAATAGAGGTATAATGTAGTTTAGGATTAGCTCTGGGTCAGATCTGTTGATTGCACCCATCTCATCCAGAGCCCACCATTGGACTTTCTCATCTCAAAGAATACACTGACTCCCTCATTTAAATACTTTATTTATTTTCCTTCTCTTATCACCCAAAGTAACAACTGCCTGCCCATTTTATCTTAGGTTGCTAGTTCAAAGTCCTGCCAATTACCCTTCTCTCACAAACAAAATCCAAGTGGAAATCAAGAACAATCCATTCAAAGACATCAAGGTGGACATCAGAAAATTTTTGTACAGCATATAGATGATAATAATCATAATTGTGTACAAAATGATGATGAAGATCAAGGCCTAGCCAATATGTAGTTGGAATGTCAGGCAAGTATCTAAGTACAGAACAAGGGCCAATGTTGTGTGGAAAAGGTAAAGTTCAAGCTAGATTACAAGGCAGTTTTCCTTTCTTTCTTCCTTTCTTTCCACCCCCTCCTCTGGTACTGGGATTAAACTCAGGGTCTTGCACTTGCGAGGCCGGCATGGTGCCACTGAGCTAAATCCCCAGCCCTCAGTTTTCCTTTCTACACAGAACAGCCAGTGGGTACCAAGAACCAAAACCATATTCCAAATTCTATTTAAATCAACTCAGGTCCAAAACGCAAGTAAAATGTCAGGGGAATATTGAAGTTAAAGCCAAATGCACCTGTGTCATGGACAGCAATACAGGCCAAAAAATGGACCTCAAGGGAGTTTCCTATCTAAACTGAACAGTTAGTACATAACAACAATCAAAACCAGACATAAAATTCTAATTAAGCCCAAGTGCATGACTACAATACAAATGGAATGTAAGGCCAGCACCCAAGTACATAGAGGGGGAAAAAATTCCACTTAATTGTGGACAAAAAAGCAGCAGAAAGATAAATCCTATGTTGGTTTTTCTAATTAAAACAGCCAATATGTGACAAGGATCAAAGATAGGATATAATAGATGAAGGTAATTGAAAGAAAACAGAGTAACATCAGAGAGTCATATATCATTCTTTGTAAAGATTAATTTCAGCGAATTAAGTTTTACAGAATCCAATGAGTTAATTTTATTTTATCTTTACACTGAATATTCTTTGGGAAGGAGGGTGTTGGGTACTGAGCCTATACTAAGCACATATCTATCACATATCTATTATACTCTAGCCTGAATACTTTCAAATGGAGAAGAAAGGAGTATTGAATCAATTTTTTAAAAGAGTACAGGAAGAGTGTCCTTTAAAATATAAAAAAACTGACAATTTATGCCAAGATAATGTTAATTAGAAACTTTAGTGTGGTATGATTTCTCACAGATCTATACATAAGATCAATAAGAATTTAAAAATCAGACACAAAATCTGTGCACAAGGCTGGACACAAATAGGTAGCTTCATGCGCTGTCAGTGAGAGTCCAATATGGTAAAAGCTCTATCAAGGAAAATAAGACAATATTATCAAAATTTCATATGCATTTAACCTTTGTACCTGCAAGTCTATTTCTAGGCATGCAGCCTACAAGAAAGGCCACCTGTATTATAAGGTACAACAGCAAAAGATTAGAAATGACCTGTGAGTACAGCAACAGTGTAATCCATAAATGATAAACTCTGCACCTTTAACACACACACACACACACACGCATTATCTCACCAACAATCTATGAATTAAAATGATAATTTACAACAATCCACCAGTCTAGGTGCTTCTCGCCCTCCATAAATTTTCCTCCCTCACTTCCAGAGCTAACTACAATTTCTTCTTCATAGTTTCTTCATCTTTTGTACACCCAGTTCTAAATTTCATTCTATATATAGATACATTTTCTCATGTTTTCCTTGTTTTTTCAGCTTTTTTTCCTCGGCTTTGTTTGAGCTTTTGGAAGTGAGGATGAAACCCAGGGACACTCTACTATTGAGTTATATCTCCAGCCACTTTTATTTTTCTCTTGAGACAAAATCTCACAAAGCTGCCCAGGTTAGCCTCAAACATCTAGTTTTTTGTTTTTTTTTTTTTTGCCTCAGCTTCTCATGAAGCAGGAATTGCAGGTGTGCACTATCGTTTTCAACTGGTTTTGAGCTTTTAACAAACATTAATTAAATATTATCTTTTGAGACTGGCATTTTTCATACAATATTATTTTAATTATAGTCATGTACATGGCTGTATTTCAGATGCTTTCACAATTTTACAATATTTCATTTTGTAATGCAATGACATACTGCATTTGTCCATTATCTTATCACTAATAGTATGGACTGTTTTCAGTATTTGGTTAATCAAAGACAATACATTGTGAGCTGGGGTTTTGGTTCAGTGGTTCCACTACCTGCCTTGCAAGCACAAAGGCCCAAGTTCAATTGCTGGTGCCACAACAAAAATAAATACATTTTTGGGCTCAGGATTTAGCTCAGTGGTTCTGCCACCTGCCTCAAAAGTACAAGTCCTCGGTTCAATTCCCAGTACCAAAAAAAACCCACACACAAACCACAAAAACAATGCATTTGTAAACATCTGTGTACATGGTTTTTGGTAAAGACATGAGAATATTTATCTTAATTTTATATTCTATTATAATTTCTGGATCATGGGTTGTGTACCTATTTAATTTGACTAGCTAATGCCAATTGTATTTCAAGTAAATTGCACCAATGTATATTCTTTTACTTATACTTAACAGCTTCTTATGTCCTGTAAATCAGTAAGAAAAAAAGACAACCCAATTAAAAATGGACAAGACACTTGAATCAGTGCTTCACTAGAGAATATACCCAACTGCTACGTTCACCAGTCATTAGGGAAATACAAATTCAAATCACAAGAAAATGCCACTAAATGCTCAGAAGAATGGCTATTGTAAAGATGGGCAGTATAGGGCCGGGGATTTAGCTCAGCGGTTCAGTGGCCTGCCTTGCAAGTGCAACGACCGAGTTCAATACCCAGTACCAAAAAAAAAAAAATAGATGGGCAGTACCAACTGAATTTTCACACACTGCATTTGGTAGCATAAAAAAACTGACAATTTATGCCAAGATAATGTTAATTAGAAACTTTTGTGTGGTACAGTAACTATGAAGAGCTGTTTGACATATTTATGACAGTTAATCATATCTATATCCAATGACCTATGCTTTTATTATTCAGTAATTCCATTTCTACCTAATGTATTCTCATGTTCTTCAAAAGATGTATACAAAAATGTTAACAGCAAAATTGTTTACAAAAGTCAAAAACTAAAAATGGGCCAGAGATTTAGCCCAGTGGTTCCACCACCTGCATCACAAGTTCAAGGTCCTGAGTTTGATCCCCAGTACCAAAAAATAAAAATAATAATAACTAGAAATACCCACTGTATATTAATATAGAGTGGATATAAATAATTTGATATTTTCATAGAAAAAAATATGCAGCAGGGCCAGGGATTTAGCTGCCTTGCAAGCACAAAATTTTGAGTTCAATGCCTGGTACGGAAAAAAAATGCAGCAGTCACCATACATGAACCACAGGTCTAAACTTCAAAAATATAATGTTGAGCAAAATGAGTACTGTATATAAAAAAGACAGTTTCACTTATGTGAAATTTAAATATGCAAATTTTAATATATAGTCCAAGTGTAGACAATGGTATACCTATAAAGGAAAAGAATTTCAAATTAGCATAAGATATTATCATTGAGAGTGACAGTAAAGCAATTGGTGAGGGTTGTGGGACATAGAGATAGTATTACCTATTTATTTTAATGTTATTCTTTAAAGAATATAGGTATTTTCTATATTCATTTTTGTTTGAATAATTTATTCAGCAGTAAGCTTTAAAGCAAACACCAACATTCTGACTTTTGCTTATATCTCCCTTCCAGTTTCAACTTTGGTGGACATGTGGTCTAAGTCCAGTGAGAAAAGGGGTGGGTTTCAACGTGGAGTTCATTAGCCAATAGTCAGTCTGCTTTCTTCCCTGCCTTACCCAAATCTCCACTCAGTGACTCCCAGATGTCAGATCTGTCTGCTCCTGAAAACATCCTGATTATGGGTATTCATTCTATTACTCTGAACTCCTGGTAGCAAAGATAGCACAGACAGAAGGCCAATTTCTTTGCTCATAACCAAACCATAGGAAAGAAATGGGAACAGGTACTCCAAGGCTGAGGAGCAGGAAGGGCTGGCTGGTAACTTCAGAGTTTTCTCACCATCTTCTACATCTTTCAGTAGTTGAAGTTTATTTTTTTCAGTAGAAACCACAATTGAATCAACAGCATCTGGAAGCCCAAGTTCACATATGCTGCCTTTACCCAAAGGAGGAAATTCTTTAACTTTATTGCCCATGCAAACATACTGCTTCAGAAGTCCTGGCCTGACATGAATCAATCTCTCTCTCTCTCTCTCTCTCTCTCTCTCTCCCTCATATCTCTCTCACACACAGAGAGACACACACACAGCCTGTGTATGTACCTGTGCATAGGAGCTAGGCTTTCATTATTAGCAGCACTCATTAGACTTGTAAGTTGACTTTAAGAAAGAGAAAGCCTGAAAGGAAGGAAGATGAGAAAGAAAGAAAAAAAGAGAAAAACAAAAAGAAAGTAAACTCTTCAGAAGAAGCAAAATACTGTTTTATAAGGGAAGGCAACCTAAACACCTTATACCCTGCTATGTCCAACTGGAGATAATTTGTGTTTTCTTCCTTTTAAATATTGGCGTTCTTGGGCCAGGGATTTAATTCAGTGGTTCCATGTCTGCCTGGCAAGTACAAGGTCCTGAGTTCAATTCCCAGTACCAAAAAAAAAAAAGGAATCCTTTCTGTTAGTCATTCAATTGTGATTTCTAGGATATCATCTCATTCCAAATCTAGAAAACTCTACCTTTCATTTTCATGGTGTCTCACAAAGGTCATCACAAAATGCTGAAGTGCAATAAACAGTCTTGAGACTTTCAAGACATATTTCCCTTGCACAGTTGTCGCGAGCCAGCGATGCAGAGCACTGTCCAGCAGTGCCTCAAACCTGAAAGAGCAGCGGGGTGGAGATGGGGCAGAGAGAAAGGAAGGACGCCAAGACAAGAGACTGATCAAGGCGACATTTATTGCCGGCAAGCACCGGCCTTTTAAAGCAAAAACCACAAACTATTATGGGATGGGTTTACCATAGTAACTGAAAGGTCACACAGGAAAAGAGCAAACAGGTTCACCAAAACAACCCACCGTGGGTAGTAGTAACCGGGACAACCACACATCTAAAGGTCAGAGACAAGAAACTGTAACTTTCAGGAATTCCACAAAGGAAACACTCTACCTGCTCAACTGGAGAAGCTTAACACATGTGGAGTTACTAGAGTTAACAGTACTTACAACCAATACTCATGATCCCCACACACAGTTTTTCTCAGGTCTAGGGAAGAATGAAGGAAAAGTCCAGTTTGATGCTAAGAAGGGTAAAATAATGATAGGTATGGAAGGGGTTAGTAAGGGCAAGGCATGATGGGGGAGCATCCTAAGTGTGAAATCAAGATTGAAGTACTAGTGACTTACTAAATGACCACAGGTGATTCTTTTATCTTCTTGGGTCTGTTGTAAAATGTGAAGAATGTGGTTGTGACAGTACATTAGGGTCAGCCAGCACTGCTTGTCAGTGAGAAAGTGGGACAGATCCTGGGACTATCAGAAGTGTTATAACATTGGGGCCGCAGATTTAGCTCAGTGTTTCTGCTGCCTGTCTTGCAAGCACAAGGACCCAAGTTCAATCCCTGGTACCAAAAAAAAAAAAGAAGTGTTATAATTCCTGGCACTTCATCCTGTGAATAATCTTTGGAAAAGCCCCAAGATAGCTCCCAGAAGTAAATGGCTAGTTCCTGGAAGAGCTAAGGAAATGTCTTCTCCTACATAAAACCACAAACTTGTCCTGGAGCCAGGCCTCCTTGGGCTGCATAAAGCAAGGCTCGGGTCAGCACTTAGCCAAACACCTTCCCGACAATGTCGGTTCCAGCCATTTCTTGTCATGGCTATGTTTCTCATCTTTGAGATGTTGGCAGCAGGTGCCTCTGCCATAGGAGCTGAGTGGACAGGAGATCTGGAGGGGCTAAGACAGGATAAAGAGAAGCTCTCAGGGGCCTCCTAGGCTCAAATACAGAAAAGTTCTGAAGCAAGAGGCACAGCTGGATCCCATACTTCAGCCTTGTGGCTATTTCCTTCACATCCAGAGAAACCAGAATAAAAGACCTCCCACATTCCCAAGCCAGGGACTGAGATCTGAGGACAGTTTGTACAAGTCATATTGTTATGTGACTTTGGCACCATGCTGAACATGGTGAACCCCAGGACTTCCTCTGGGCCAGATCGTTTTGCCTCATAAAAGCACTTGAGTAACTGCCTTGTAGAAGGGGGCTGAGAAACAACAAGGGTCTTAGAAACCATGAGGTTGAGGTCCATTGGTTCATAAGAAGGAAGCCAAGTCAGGGAGAGGAATGAGGAATTGTCAATCAATTTCCAGAGCGAGGGTGGCGCTCAAGTCAACTGGCATGTGGCTCAGGGCCTTTTCTTCCTCCTCCGAATTTCCTCAGAAATGATAAGGTATCCTCATTTCTGGGTGTCAACCCAGTCTGAGAAAAGCTCCTGAGAAACAAGGAATGGAGGTAAGAGGAAGAAACACACTCCAGGTGATGGTGGTCCTATAGCCCCAGTCTGGAAAGAGAAGGGACCAGTCTTTCAGGAGCTCAGATGCAAGCTATCCCTGAAGAACCTCCTCTACTTGTGGGTATAGTGTGGGGCACACTGCAGGAAGCAGTGCTTACACCTATGGGAAAAACAAGGTAGTGAAACAAGCATAATAGGTCTAAATGTGGGTATGTTTCTTGTTTCTGTTAAAGGACAAGAAACTACGCAAGGTCATATTTGTACCACAGAACAGATTCCGATGGACGAAGAATATGTAGTTCAACATAAAGATCCCATGATCGGTCACATTTGGGTCAATGGACAAGATTTCGTGGAAGAAGCAGTTTCAGTTAAAGGTCTCAGCCCTGGGAAAGGTCATATGCAGGTCAAAGGACAAGATCTCCTGGGAAAAGAAGTTCCAGTTAAAGATCTCCATCCTGTGAAAGGTCGCATACAGGTCAAAGGACAAGATCTTATGGGAGAAGTTTTAGTTCAAGGTACAGATCCAATGATGGATCACATTTGGGTCAACGGACAAGATTTTGTGGAAGATGCAGTTCCGGTTAAAGGTGTTGATGCAAAGAAGGGTCACATACAGGTCAAAGGACAAGATCTCCTGGGAGAAGGAGTTTCAGTTCAAGGTCAGGGTTCTCTGAAAGGTCGAGGTTCTTTGAAAGGTCACCTGCAGATCAAAGGACAAGATTCCATAGGAGAAGTAGTTTCAGTTAAAGGTCTCCATCCTGTGAAAGGTCAAATACAGGTCAAAGGACAAGCTCTCATAGGAGAAGAATTTTTAGTTCAAGGTACAGATCATGTTTGGGTTGGTGGACAAGATTTCGTGGAAGAAGCAGTTTCAATCAAAGGCCTCAGTCCTGTGAAAGGTCACCTGCAGGTCAAAGGTCAAGGTCTCCTGGGAGAAGCAATTTCAGTTAAAGATGTTGGTGCTGTGAAAGGTCGAGCTTCTCTGAAAAGTCGGGGTTCTCTAAAAGGCCAAGTTTCTCTGAAAGCTCAGGGTTCTCTGAAAGGTCACCTACAGATCAAAGGATAAGATTCCACAGAGGAAGTTTCAGTTAAAGGTCTCCATCCTGTAAAAGGTCACATACAGGTCAAAGGACAAGATCTCCTGGGAGAAGCAATTTCAACTAAAGGTGTTAGTGCTGTAAAACGCCGAGGTTCTCTGAAAGGTCAGGGTTCTCTGAAAGGTCACCTGCAGATCAAAGGAAAAGGTCTCCTGGATGAAGCAGCTTCTGTTAAAGGTCATCATCCTGTGAAAGGTCACCTGCAGGTCAAAGGACAAGATCTCCTGGGAGAAGTAATTTCAACTAAAGGTGTTGGTGCTATTAAACACCCAGGTTCCCTGAAAGGCCGAGGTTCTCCAAAAGGTCAGGGTTCTTTGAAAGGTCACCTACAGATCCAAGGACAAGGACTCCTGGAAGAACCAGTTTCAGTTAAAGGTCTTGGTACTGTTAAAGGTCAAGATTCTCTAAAAGGCCGAGGTTCTCTGAAAGGTAGGGGTTCTCTAAAAGGCCAAGGTTCTCTGAAAGCTCAGGGTTCTCTGAAAGGTCACCTACAGATCAAAGGACAAGGTCTCCTGGATGAAGCAGCTTCTGTTAAAGGTCATCATCCTGTGAAAGGTCACCTGCAGGTCAAAGGACAAGATCTCCTGGGAGAAGTAATTTCAACTAAAGGTGTTGGTGCTATTAAACACCCAGGTTCCCTGAAAGGCCGAGGTTCTCTAAAAGATCAGGGTTCTTTGAAAGGTCATCTAAAGATCAAAGGACAAGGATTCCAGGAAGAACCAGTTTCAGTTAAAGATCTTGGTGTTGTTAAAGGTTGAGGTTCTCTAAGAGGCTGAGGTTCTCTGAAAAGCCAGGATTCTCTGAATGGTCAACAGCAGATCAAAGAACCAGATTCCATGAAGGAAGTTTCAGTTAAAGGTCTCCATCCTGCAAAAGGTCTCTTACAGGTCAAAGGACAAGATCTCATGGGAGAAGAATTTTTAATTCGAGGTACAGATCAAATGAGCAGTCACATTTGGGTCAATGGACAGGATTTTGTGGAAGAAGGAGCTTCCATCAAAGGCCTTAATGCTGTGAAAGGTAACCTGCAGGTCAAAGGACAAGGTCTCCTGGGAGAAACAATTCCAGTTAAAGATGTTGGTGCTATGAAAGGTCCAGGTTCTCTAAAAGGCCAAGGTTCTCTGAAAGGCCAGGGTTCTTTGAAAAGTCGGGGTTCTCTGAAAGGCCGAAGTTCTCTGAAAGGTCGGGGTTCTTTGAAAGGTCACCTACAGATCAAAGGACAAGATCTCCTGGATGAAGCAGCTTCAGTTGAAGGTCTTGGTCCTCTGAGAGGTTGCACACAGGTCAAAGGACAAGATATCCTGGGAGAAGCAGTTTCAGTTAAGGGAGTTGGTGCTGTGAAAGGTCGCGGTTACCTGAAAGGTCACCTGCAGAAGAAAGGACAAGGTCTCCTGGATGAAACAGTTTCAATTAAAGGTCTTGGTCCTGTGAAAGGTGGCCCACAGGTCAAAGGACAAGACCTTCTTGGAGACACAGTTTCAGTCAAAGGTCCCGGTCCCGTGAAGGGTGGCACACAGGTCAAAGAACAAGACCTTGGAGACACAGTTTCAGTCAAAGGTCCCGGTCCCATGAACGGTGGCACACAGGTCAAAGGACAAGACCTTCTGGGAGAAGCAGTTTCAGTCAAAGGTCCCGGTCCCGTGAAAGGTGGCACAGGTCAAAGTCCTTCTCGGAGAAGCAGTTTCAGTCAAAGGTCCCGGTCCCGTGAAGGGTGGCACACAGGTCAAAGGACAAGACCTTCTCGGAGAAGCAGTTTCAGTCAAAGGTCCCGGTCCCGTGAAGGGTGGCACACAGGTCAAAGGACAAGACCTTCTCGGAGAAGCAGTTTCAGTCAAAGGTCCCGGTCCCGTGAAGGGTGGCACACAGGTCAAAGGACAAGACCTTCTCGGAGAAGCAGTTTCAGTCAAAGGTCCCGGTCCCGTGAAGGGTGGCACACAGGTCAAAGGACAAGACCTTCTCGGAGAAGCAGTTTCAGTCAAAGGTCCCGGTCCCGTGAAGGGTGGCACACAGGTCAAAGGACAAGACCTTCTCGGAGAAGCAGTTTCAGTCAAAGGTCCCGGTCCCGTGAAAGGTGGCACACAGGTCAAAGGACAAGACCTTCTCGGAGAAGCAGTTTCAGTCAAAGGTCTCAGTCCTGTGAAAGGTGGTATGGGAATCAAAGGACAAGATCTCATGCCAGAAGCAGTTTCTGTTAAAGGTTCTGGTCCTATTAAAGATGTCATGCAGGTCAAAGGACAAGGTGTCATAGGAGGAGCAATTGCAGTTAAAGATCTCAGGTCTGTAAAAGGTCAAATGCAGGTAAAAGGACAGAATCTCATGGAAGTAGTTGCAGTTAAAACAATGAGTTCTGTGAAAGGTTATATACAGGTCACAGGACAAAAAACCCTGGGAGAATTTTTCGGTCATCGTAAAAATCCCATGATTGGTCACATTTGGGTCACAGGACAAGATTTTGTACAAGAATCAATTTCAGTTAAAGGTCTTGGTTCTGTGAAAGATCAAATGAAGGTCAAAGGACAAAATTTCATTGGAGAAGCAATTTCTGTTAAAGATCTTGGTTCTGTGAAAGATCAAGCGAAGGTCAAAGGACAAAATTTTATTGGAGAAGCAATTTCCATTAAAAGTCTTGGTTCGGAGAAAGGTCACATACAGTGCAAAGGACAAGATTTCATTAGAGAAGCAGCTTCAATTAAAAGTCTCCATCCTATGAAAGGTCTTAGGCAAGACAAAAGACAAGATCTCCTGGATGAAGCAATTTCAGTTAAAGGTGTCAGTCCTGTAAAAGGTGGCACACAAGTCAAAGGACAAGACCTTCTCAGAGAAGCAGTTTCAGTCAAAGATCTCAGTTCTATGAAAGATCACTTGCAAGTTAAAGGACAAGACCTCCTACAAGAAGCACTTTCAGTCAAAGGTCTGGCTTCTGTCAAAGGTCACATACAAGTCAAAGGACAAGATCTCCTACAGGAAACAGTTTCAGTTAAAGGTGTCAGTCCTGTGAAAGGTGGCACACAGGTCAAAGAACAAGATCTCCCGATGAAGCAGTTTCAGTCAAAGGTTGGAGTTCTTTCAAAGGTCAAGGTTCTCCTAAAGGTTCCATGCAGATCCAAGGACAAGATTCCATGAAAGAGACAGCTTCAGTACAAGGTCTAAGTTCTGTGAAAGGTGGTAAGCAGATTGATGGACAAAATACCAGGGGAAGAAGCAGTTTTAATTAAAGGTCAACATCTTATGAAAAGTCACATGAGGTTCAAACGACAAGAACACATGGAAGAGCAAAATGCATTTAAAGGTGAAGGAGCATTCAAACAGCAAAGTTTCAGTAGATCTGGCTCCTGCCCTGACATTGTGGCACAGTGCACATTTACAAGTAATCCCGACGAGTGTGGCAGTGATACTGAGTGCCCAGGGACCAAGAAGTGCTGTTGGGCATGTGCGGGATGCAGTGTTTGATCCCCGAGTGAGGTGAGAACTAGCTGAAAGAGGGGACCCCTACCAATACAGAAGGGGGTTGAGCGGTGGGGAGTGATGTCAGGGTGGTGGAAAGGAGGAAATGGAGAGTTGTTGGACAGACTGAGAGACTGAAGGGTCTCAGAGGCCATAAGAAAGGTGTAGAGGGGTGTCCCTACCTCCAGACAAGGTCTGAGTGCTTTGACCTGCTGAGTCATAGCTCTGATTCTCTTCTCTCCCACCAGGTAAAGCCTGTCCTCGCTGCACCTGTCCTGGGCCCAGCCTGCAGGCCTCTCTCTAGTCCCAGCTCTTAGTAGCACTATTCTTTCCCACAGTGCCCATTCTTCCACTCATTCTGGATGCCCAGTCCTTGAACTACCTTTGTCTTCTACTTTCCAATAAAAGAAAAAAAAAACAAAAAACTTCGGCTCCATTTGTTTCTGGCTGCTATGATTTCTGGACTCCTGAAAGCTCTTGGAAAATGGGATTTGATCTCTCCAGTGGAGAGAGAAATGGAAACCAAGAGACAACTATTTGGCTATGAAGCAGAGCACAGCCAGGAACAAGAGCCACATTCCTAGGGCTTAGTGTTGGAAATCTAGTGTTCAGCCCAAGTACCATAGTCTCCATTGAGTAGGAAATGCTAATCAGCAAAGCTCACTGTTGGCCTAGGACCAGAAACTACACACACACAAACAACAAAACATTATGTAAATTACAGGCATGTCCTTTCATTTCCAATCCACTGTCACTCTTGACCTGGATACTCTCATTACTGGAGTGTGACAAGCCAACCTTGCGGCTAAACATACAACTGCTTCCTCCCTTTTCTTTAATATTGCCAGGTGCCATGGCCCAAGTGGCTGAAGGGTTCAGGAGTGAGAAACAATGGTAAGAGACTAAGAAAGTCAAAGAAAAATTCAAAGATAACAGTAAAATTTATAAAGCTGAAGCCAGGTGGAAACGCTTTGTCTTGATAAGGCTAAAAGCTTGGCTTGCATCCTCAGCACCTTTATTTATAGTGTAGATAAGGGAAATGAAAGGGGATGCCTGATTGGAACCAGAGAGAATGGCTAGGATAGGCAGGAGATAATGCTTGATGTTTCTGTGGCAGATGGGTGGGAAGACAGTCCTCTTCTTTCAGGCCTTCCTCTACCACACTCCACCTCTTGTCACCTATTCTCCCGCTGGGTCCTGCCTCATCCATGGGAGGAAGCGAACACAGGAGTCCCTGCCTCATCCACTGGAGGAGGTGAGTTGGGCCTGGCCATAGTGATCTACAGTGCAGTGCTCCAACACCCAGGGAAATCCTTCACTGAAGACACACAAGGAATGATATTACAAGTGCTGGGAAATCCATGTATGAATTTTAGCGACTCAGGTCTGAAAGTCCTCCACTGACACTTCATGCTTTTCAGTTAAGCAATGTCCTCCCCCAGACTTCGGTTTTAAAATGTGAGTTAAGAGGCGAGACACACTAAGTTCTTGATACCTTAGTGTAAATTTACAGTGTGAACAGTGTTTCCATAGATATACTATAAGCTGGGAGCTTGTAATGCAGATATGGGGGGGTGTATTCGACAAACATGAAAAATTTCATGGCTCTGTAGTTGATTCACCTTCCCCACTCCCCTTGTACCAGAAGGAGCCTCAGGAGGAGGAGCATTTTGGATGGAGTGGAAGGAGCACAGACATGCCCAGGAGTCAAGTCAATGGGCGGCTCTCCCCAGCACTGCCTCTCAATTTTAGGTGGCCCCAGAGAAATCTGTTTCTCTCTGAGCCTCAGATGTACACTTAAATTCAGGACATCTGGTCAGGCCCTGCCAATCTGGAATTGGAATCAATTGCTCTTTCTTCTGTGCTGGGCTCCTGCTGTCAGAGGAAGCGGGGAGCAGAGACTTGGGGTGAGAGAAAAGGAAGTACTGCAGCCCTTCCCCCTCCCATGAACAGAAGCCATGGCTCCCATCCCTCTCCAGGATAGGCTGGGCTGCACTGGGGCTTGGATATGGGAGCATCTTAGAGTATGTGGAGAGCAGTGCCCAGACTTCTGGTCTGAAAAATGTACATTACCACATTGGAAATAATAATAGCTTATGTATTTTACTGTTCCCTCTGTCCAGGTCCTAAGCTTAGTAGATTATATGTATTGTCATATTTATTTTCCATTAAAATGCTCTCAGATTAGCATTATACATATTTTTAAAATTTTGTTACAAATTCATAAGACTGGTTAAGTAAGCATCCAAAGCCACACAATTAGCAAGTGACAATAAACCATGTTTCATTATATATCAGCATTAATCAGAGAAAATATTTCCTATTCATTTATTTATTTTATTAGTACATATTAATTATATGGAACAATGAGTTTCCTTGTGGCATTTTCGTGTCAACTTTACTATTTATAATATCAACAAAATAATACCATTTCTATAAATAAACTTAACAAGAGGCAGGCAGAACTTTAATAAAAAGAAACAACAAAACTTTTCAGAGATGCATTTAAAAAAGGCTTGAAGAAGTACATATTGTGCTCCTGAAAGGGAAGACTACAGAGGAAAGGAAGATTCAATACTATTTCAATTTACAATGCTCAAAACCTGTGTTTATTTATTTATTTTGTCCTGAAGTGGTGAGGAACTATTAAAGAACTCACACTTTCATGTGAAATAATAAATTATTGTGAATGAACAGAGAAATTTGAAAATAGCTAATTTGAGGATATCTGAATCTTAAAACTGTCCTGCAAAGTGACAATGAATATATTGGTTTTGGTAGCAGCATAAAGGGGCAAGAAGAGAAAACAATAGAAGATAAAGCCCAAAAACTTGCCTTACCATATGTAACTCGAGGTAAGTTAAATGTCAAGTTTCAAAACAACAAAGAAATGAATGATTTGCATTATTTAAGTAACAAGACTCAAGACTATAGGTTGGTTTTCAAAAATAAAGGAATTTATGTTTGTCCTTTATTGGGGTACAGTTTAAACTACTTTGATTTAAAAAAATATAGGTGGCTCCAGGGTGAGTTTCTTTCCCAGAAACCTGTCCAGCTTGAGCAGTCTATGGCTAGCAAGGTGGCTCAGCAACTCAAGGCCTCTCAGAGTCCCCTGGTTCCTTCTACCTTTTTGTTCCTCCATTTCCCAGAATACTGTTTTTACATCTCAAAGAATGTTGTCTTCATTTTCATGGCAGAAGGTGGCTAACTTCGATATCTTATTTCATCCAATGGAAGAGGAGATGATGATAACAATTTTGGCTTTAGGAAAACAACCTGGAAATTATTCTAGTCTTCTAGTCTATTCCACTCTTGCATTCAATTCATAACCACTTCTATTTGTAAGGAAAGCTTTTCCTGAAAGTTCTGACAGAGTAATTAAGGCAAGAAGAAGAAATAAAATATGGAAAATGAAGAAATAAAACTAGTATTAATCTTTTCTAGTCTTCTTTTCTGTCATCTTTTTTTTTTTTTTCTTTCTTCCAGCTTTGGACTCAGTTTGTTTTAATGTCTCTGAGATGTAAAAATTTGGTTACTAGTTTGAGATCTTTCTTTGTTAATGTAGGTCTTATAGCTATAAATTTCCTTCTGAGAACTCATTCACTGCATTCCATGAGGTTTTAGTATATGACATTCTCATTTAATCAGTGTGATCATTAATTGTGACATGTTCATTTGATCTGAATGGGAATCACCTAACAAATTATTATTAAAGTTCTAACTGTGTTTGTGGATGGCTGACTTAGGCTAGAAAACTGAGGAATGAAGACTCAGCTGACTTCTGGGCAGAACCAACTAATAGGCTTATAGTCTGAATGAAATAAATAAGAAAAAAGGAAAGAAGTGTTCCCTTTTTGGAGGAGCTGCAGTTTTTGCCATTGCCTTTGGACGTTGGTCTTCAGTTTCTTCAGCCTTCTAGTGCAGACTCTTTGGCCTTCCAACATACATTGGTGACTCTACAGTGAGCTTTCGAGTCTTCACCTTCAACTCCTATTGGATTCTCCAACTACCCAGCACACAGAGGACCATTTTGGATTCTTCTAATTACACAGAGGCCATTGTAACTCTTCAGCTTCTAATCTTGTATAATTATACATATACTTTATATTAATTCTGCTTCTCTAGAGAACCCTAAACAATCTAACCAATTATAAAGGGTTTTCTAATTTAACTTGTGTTTTCCTCTTTGAACCACTGAGTGACAGCATGTTCATTCCACTTATTTATGAATTTTACAATTTTTTGTTATTGCTAGCTAGTTTTATTCCATTGTAGTTGTGGAAAGTACTCTGTACAATTTTATAAATATACTGAACTTGTTTTTTGTCTGACATGTAGTCTATCCTGAAGAATACTTTATGTGCACTTGAGAAAAATGTTCAGCTTACTGTCTGGGTGGAATATTCTGTACGAGGCACAAATGTTTAAATTTTCTAAAAGACTTACTATAGTAAAAGAAAAGTTTCTATAAATTCCCCTTAAAATACACTACTTCATGAGTGACTTTATGGAATGTGATAAAAACATAGTGAATGCTACTGCCAAGTACCATCCAATGCGAAGGCAGGTGTGCCCTCATTCACCTTACAGTGCCAGACCTGTGCAACTTCTGGCTTTTCTCAAAAGTCAAAACTGCCATGAAAGGTAAATGTTTTGAATCATTTCAGGACACTGAGACAGCCACAGTATCATAACTACAAACACTCGTGAAAGGATTTCCTGAGTTCTTTCAGAAAGTGGCAAGAATGAAGGGATAAGTGTGTTTTAAGTGAGAGGGGATGTTCTAGGGAGACTTACACAATGTACCGTTTAATATAATAAAATTTTAAAATTTCAACACTCATGATAGTGGGGTTGTGGGGGAAAAATGAACCCTTCTCCATTGTTGGGGCAAGTGTAGACTGGTGCAACCACTGTAGAAATCAGTGTGGAGATTCCTCAAAAAAAACCTAAAAGTTGAGGTTCCATTCAACCCATCTATTCTCCTTCTTGGTATCTTCCCAAAAGAATTAAAAGC